GAACCAAGAGGGGCCCATCCTACCGAATTGCTCAAAAAACCTGTTACACGAGACACCAAAGTACACATGAAACCTCCTACACAGCCCGTAGGAGTAGGCAATCTGCAAACTACAACTGTGAACAAATAAAAATAAAAAGAAAGACCACTGATAAGCTCCCACTTGTAGCATAGCAAGGCGCTTGAAGCAGCCACCACCATGGTACATACACACCCTGCCAACTGCCACCCAAATCTGAACAGCAATCAACCACCACTCCTCCACAGCAAGAGAGAAATAAAAGAAATGAAGATAGCTTATGAACCCACTGAAATGCCTAGGCAAGGCACAACTTGCAGCCATCACTGAAGACCAAATCCACACAGCGTACAACGCCAAAGAGGGGCGCTGATTGTAGCCACCTTCACACCACCAGGCAAACCCCGGCACAGATTGTTGCCAATGCCCAGAGATAGTCACCAACAGCAAGCTTCTTGCAGCCAAAGCCCATATCCAATAACCATTCGAGAGAAACTGCCAGGAGCAATCCCACCTTACAAGTTGCTGCTTAACCTGTTCAACATATAATAGAGAGGAATTTCCATAACAATATATTGAGTCATACAGAAGAAGAAACAACAAGCATTCAGTATAGGACCTCCCCTCACTCGACCCACAATAAAAGAGAGCTCTCCACTCAATATAAGATCTCCCATCACTCGGCCCACATATTCCGTGCTCTCTCATTCCAGCCAGCTGAACAATGTACTTGAAATTCCATAAACCTGCACAAAAATATATATAATATATAGTACATGCAACTCATTTATTGTTTTCTAAATCTCCTAAGTGTTCAATTCTCAAGTCCAAAAAGTTGAATTTCAATTCGCATCATATTTCCCTTTCTTTGCCCAAACTTTCTCTTCCACCACCAAGGAAGAAAGATTTTCTCTAACTCCCTCCGTCCTTCTAGAACATTCGCTCTTTTATTGCAGAAACTAATTAGCTTAGGCACTATCAGTTTCATTGGCTTAAGAGGCCAGGTTTCACTCAAACTAATCTTGCTTAGCCTCCAAGAAAGGTAATTTACGGAATAATCGTAGCTTATCGTTAATAGTTTAACTTAAGCAACTCGTTTCATGTTATCTAAATCACCTAAGTGTTTTCAATTCTCATATCCAAATCGATGAATTTCAATTCCCTACAAGTTTCATTCTATTTACCTCTCGTTACCCCAACTATCTCTTCTAGTTCTTAGGAAGAAAGTTTCTCTCTAACTCTCTCCGCCCCTCTCTCTTTTTTTCTAGGAACTAATTAGCTTAGGCAACGAACAGTTTCATTAGCTTAAGTGGCCAAGTTTAACTCGAACTAATCTTGCTAAGCCTCCAGAAAAGAGATTTTACTTAGTGATTGTGCAAAACCGTATTAGTCGAACTTAAGCATCTCATTTAAAGTTTTCTAAATCACTAAAGTGTTCAATTCTCAAGTCCAAGAGGAAGAACTTGAATTCCCTTTAATTTGCATCCTAATTCCCTTTCTTTTCTCTAACTTTCTCTCCTACCACTCAAGAAGAAAGTTTTCCTCTAACTCTCTCCGTGCTTCTCCAACCCTCTCTCTTTTGTTCTAAGAACAAACTAGCTTAGGCAACTATTAGTTTCATTAGCCTAAGCGGCCAAGTTTAACTCAAACTAATCTTTCTTAGACTCCAAGAAAGAGAATATACGGTGCAATTGTAGCTTAACGACATTTCTTTTGCCTAAGCAACTCATTTAATGTTTTCTAAATCACCTAAGTGCTCAATTCTCAGGTCCCTGTAAATTCTCAGTAAATTACTCGATAAGTTCTCACTAAATTTTTTGTAAATTACTCAGAAAATTACTCAGTAAATTGTTAGTAAATTCTCAGTAAATTACATAGTAAATTGTGGATCTAGGAAAATTCTTCAGAGACAGCATTTTATTTCTCACCATCTGGATTACAGATTTAATAACCACCTCTTCAAGCTTAAATCCTTTGTTAAAAACACAATTATTTCTCTCAATCCAGATGTGGTAAACAGAACACAAGAATGCATTGCTCAGAATATTGGCCCTCAAAGATTTACCCTTGGCCTCCTTCGTAGCATGTGTAACAATATCAGGCCAATCAAAATCAGGCCACTTTATGTTGCATTTAACTTCAATAGCACTCCAAACTCTGTTAGAAAAGATGCACTTGAAAAAGAGATGGGAATGACTTTCCCCAGGTTTTAGGCAGAAAGGGCATTGAGAATGAGGGGCTAGACCAAACATAAGTAACCTATCACCAGTATAAAGTCTGTTGTGAAGAGCTACCCAGACTATGAAACTAACTTTAGGAATCCTATGAGGCCCCCAAAGGAGCCTATGCCAATCCACTTTCCCAAATCTATTTCTCCAATGATTCCAAGCTGAGTGAATGGAAAACTGACCATCAATAGTAAGTTTCCAGATAGCTTGGTCACACCTAGATGGGTTAGGTGTACAACAATCAGGAGTAAAGGAAATCAACTCCTGAATCTCCCAAGAATTGGAAATAGGCCACTTCCACGAATGACCATAAATGATTTCACTAACTTTGGTCTCACTGTTAAGGCATGAATCATACATAATTCTGTCCCCAAACTTGTTCCACATAGGACCAAGCGGATGCCAATTGTCATACCAAAGGAAAGTAGACTTCCCACACCCAATTTTGTGAGTGATCAGAGGCGACATCCAATCCCTAAGAGACAATAGCTTCCTCCAAACCCAGGATGGATCATTTGGGACTCTAACTTTCCGAAAACATCTACTGTTGAGTAAATAAGATTTAACTCATTGGCACCACATAGATTCCTCACCCCCAGAAAAAAGGAACCAAATATGCTTAGCTATAGCAGCTCTATTCCAAATGTCAAGAGACTTAAACCCAAGACCCCCCTCATTTTTAGGAGCACACACAGAATCCCATGCAATCTTGGCACTGTGAGTTTTGAGATCACTGCCAGACTAGAGAAAAGCTCTAAGAATACTTTCAATCTCCCTAATAACCTTCTTAGGAAGGATAAACAGGGAGGACCAATAAACTTGCATGGAAAAAAGAATGGATTGGATAAGCTGGCTTCTCCCAGCATAAGACAAAGCTCTATTAGTCCAACTCTTCATTCTTTTGGTAATCCTATCAATGAGAGGGACACAATCGGTGGCCCTCAACTTGGTAGTAATAAGGGGAACACCAAGATATTTAACCGGAATAGTGCCCTCTTTGAATTTAGCAATACCTAGAATAGAAGCACGTAACCCCATCTCACAACCAGAAAAGTAGATGTTACTCTTACTGGGATTAGGGGTAAGGCGAGAAAGGTTAGACAATTCCTCAAGGCCATCCATAATAAGCTTAACAGTGGGCACATCACCTCTACTAAAGATCATAAGATCATCAGCAAAACAGAGATTAACAATTTTAGTCTTCTCACATCTCCAATGGAACTTAAAAAGGGGGTTTCTAGACTTTTCAGCAAGAATTCTAGCCAAAACCTCCATAGCCAACACAAAAAGATAAGGGGACATAGGGTCTCCTTGCCTAAGGCCCCTAGCCCCTTTAAAGTACCCATGAAGACTGCCATTAATGCAAATAGAGAAAGAAGGACTAGTCATACAAGCATTGATCCAATTTATCATGCAAGGAGGAAAGTTCATAGCAGTGAGGATATCAATAATAAACTTCCATCTCACAGTATCATAGGCTTTCATGATGTCCACTTTCATAGCGCACTTCGGAGTTTTGGAACTCCGGTGGTAACCCCTCATAATCTCTTGGGACAGAAAGATGTTGTCCGAGATTCTTCTACCCTGGACAAAAGCAGATTGCACAGGATCAATAAGATCAGGAAGCACCAATTTGACTCTGTTAGCTATTATCTTGGCAATGCATTTGTAGATGGTGTTGCAGCAAGAAATAGGCCTATAGTCACCAACATTCATAGGATTAGGAATTTTGGGAATAAGAGCAATGATGGTGCTATTGATCTCCGAGAGGAGTTTACCAGAGTCAAAAAATGACTTAATGGCAAGGGTAACCTCCTTCCCAACAATATCCCACGAGCTTTTGAAGAAACCAGCTGAATACCCATCAGGGCCAGGAGCTTTATTGGCTTTGAGAGACCAAAAAACCTCCTTGATTTCAGCATCCGAAATAGGTTTAGCCAAAGGAGCCGATTGAGAATTGGAAACCTTTTTATTCACCAACGATTTGATGTGCTCAAGACCATTGTACTCCCCCAAGATAGGGGTACCAAACAGCTTGGTATAGAACTGGACAAAAGTATCATGAATATCAGTTATCTTAGTGGACTTAGTACCATCTTCCATAACCACACTCATGATTTTACCTCTATTAATATTACTCTTAACAGACCTAAAAAAGAAGCTGCTATTCCTATCCCCTAGACCAAGCCATTGGACTCTGGATTTTTGAAGAGCAAGACACTCTTCCAACTTGCTAAGATCAATGTATCTTTTCAGCTCCTCTCTTTCCTCAGATTGAAGCTCACAGTTCAAAGGATCCTTATCAAGCTTAATTTGAGCAAGATCCAAACTAGCCTTAGAGATAATGACACGAGTGGACAGATCACTAAAATCTTTTTTATTAAGAAGCTTAAGGCTGGCTTTGAGTTATCTTAGCTTCTGACAAATCCTGAACATAGGGACACCACGAATATACTGAAACCAAGTATTTGAAACAGTGCTGAGAAAATCTGGGTGTTGAGACCAAAAATCAGAGTATTTGAAAGGTTTCTTAAAGGAGCTACTGTTAACACTGATGTTGACCACAACAGATGAGTGATCAGAAATACCAGCCGGGAGAAAAGTAGCCGTAGACTCAGGAAACTTATCCAGCCAGGCCTCATTAACCAGAACTCTGTCAATCTTGGTTGCTATGAAAGCTCCCTCACTCCTTTTATTAGCCCATGTGAATTGGCATCCACCATAAGGAGAAGCACAGAGAAAGTTAGAGAGAAACTATCCAGAAGGTGACTCAGGTCCATCACCAATACCCCTCTTTGCTCGACGAATTCCAACACAAAGATCCCCATTATCTGCTCTCAAGAAAACAATCGAATCCCCCGCAACAAGCTTCTTCTGATTCACAAAATTGCTCCAACCTGTCGTCAGAAGATGACGACGCGGAGTCCCTCTATAAATATGCCTAAATTTCCAGATCTCTCCATGAACATCCTTTGCAAGGATAGTCTGAACTGGAGGTTCAGCTGAATAATCCAACCGCGGGAAAATCGTCTCTGCACAGTACCGTGGAACAGAGAAACCCCCACCATTATTAGCATCAGACTGTGTCAAAGTCTTCGCAAAAGATGAGGGTTTCTCTTTGTTCTCAGATTTATCAATTCCCAGAAACCCATCATCATGATCAAAATCAGAATCATTGTTCCTCAAAGGAACCAATCTTATCTTGGCATAAACCTCATCAGTGTCAGTGTCAGCCAAAAATTTGATTCCTGATACTCTACAAAGAACGAGTGCGGGAATTCTTGAAAAATTCCCAGAATCAAGTTTCTCATGAGCATGCTCAGCATGGCCTTGAGGGAAATAAAACACTTTTGAGTTCACCGGCGGCATTTGCACCATACCGCCGGCGCAGGCATGCCATAATTGAGAATCCAAGCACTCCTCCGATTCATTCATCGATTTATGTATCGAGTTCATCACAGTAATCATCCCAATCTAAGCAAAATTTCCTCTTTTCCTTGTTAAATTTCCGTGAATGCTGCCACCAAAAGAAAAAGGCAAAACTTTTAGGCAAATACTAAAAACAGTTTGGTTGCCGAGAAAACATTAACTTTTGAATATTTAAAATTTATGACACGATTTCTAAACATATAAAAACACAAAAAGTGATAATATTTCATATTATTGTATTTGTTTTTCCTCTGTTTTCTGAGTAGCCAAACAAAGGGACAAAAGAAAATGCGGGAAAAATGGAATAGAGATAGGGAAGATGAATAAAAACTACCTCGGTTGCCCGAAACGTTGAATCTCTTTGTGGATTCCGAAACCAAAAGAGGAATCAAAATCAGATGAAGCAGCGAAATGGACCTCTTTCTCACATCTGAGGCTGCCTAAACTGATCGGAAAACCGATTGCCCATCATTTAGAAACTTCGATTGGATCCACAAAATAGGAATCGATCAAATGGGTTCTTAATTTGGGTTGTGTTATATCGTTTGTGGAAAAGAAAGATGAAAGAGATTGTTGTTGAAAATCACAAGTTTTGGAGTTGAGGGCAGTGAGAGTGAAGAGTCTGTGAGGAATTTAAGGAGAGAGAGAGAGAGAGAGAGAGAGAGAGAGACAACACACTGTGTGTATGCAGAGAGTCTCACACACCTGATGACCTGAAGCTTCGTTGCCGACCAGACGGTTGGCAGAGAGAGATTTGACAGAAAATTCCAAGGGAGTTTTGGTTAGTAAAAAGAAAGAGAGAAGAGAGAGGGATTTTAAGAGAGAGAGTATATTTGGATGATGGGGTTGTATCGTAAGATTCCAAACACCCAAACAGCACAGATATTCATTTGATATTCAGGTGTCGTTCGGTAACAATTATTTATTTATTATCTAAATAAATATAAAAAGATAAAATAAATTTAATAAATAAATTAATAAGATAAAATTTTATATTCAAATCATAATAATAATTATTATTATTTTTACAATTATCACATCTAAAAAAAATCAAAAATACTTTTCAAATAAAATTAATTTAGCCAGACTAAATTAATTAAATTACTCTTTTTTTTTTAAAAGAAATTAATTAAATTACTTAGAAAACCAGACTAGCTCTTCCTAAATGAAAAGTGGGTCATCTCATTTTCCATTCCCACTTTCCTCTGTTATTCCGTTGCTTTGTAATTTGGAAAAAGGGTTATTTTTTAGAAAGTTTTATTCTTAAATATTATGTTTTATTTAATTCATTTCCTTTTTTCATATTCTATTAAGTCATGTTTAAGATAATATGGCCAAATCACTCTTTTAAACATTTTGAACATGTTTTCATTTTGAAATCAATACACAATTAAAAAATAATAATAGTCCCTCATTTCGTGGAGAAAATTTCTCTCACATTTTAAGAAGAAAATCTCTTCATTATTTCATGGAGAAAAGCTCTCATTTATTCTATAGAAAAAAATACCTCCCTTATTCTAGGGAGAAAATCCCTCACATTCTGTCACGATCCAAACCGGCCAGTAATTCTAAGATTATCAAAGGTCTTTGAGACTGATTAGCAAAATAAGGGGGCTAGCAGAAGCAAATATCAAAAATACAATATTCATAGAGTTGTGCAAACTTATGTGGTGACGTCACTCTTGGTCACTACATGTACAAATAATCAAAAAGAGACTTAGTCCTATTTACAGAGTAACACAAAGACTTGTCCAAATAAACAAAAGAAATAAAAGCTTAAAACTTGTTCATTAGTTTGGTTACAAACATTGCCCACAGAAACTTGACCACAAAAGACTTCCAAAAGCTCCTCGGGAGACGTATTGGTTGGCTGACACAAACAGAATCCAGACTGAAAGTCTCAAGCCTTGTCATGTACCTGATCACCTACATACATAATATAGATAATGAGTTGTCTAATGAATAATAATAGAGTAAAGGTTTTGTTGAATAATGTCCATAACAGATTCAGAAATTAGATCAGAAACATATTCTTATACATATTCAGATTTGTAAACAGTTATACATGATACATCTGTAAGCTAACAGAGCAAATGGTCATATAAGACCCATATACATAGTAGATCAGACAGATGATTATGCATAATCGTAATAGACAACCATATAGGTTTGACAGATAGTTCTATGATTGGAACCCACATAGATCCTTGGTACCAGGTAACAGACCACAGATATTAGATATTAGATAACAGATGCTAATGATGCCACGATTACATTTCAGAAATTGGACAATCCTTCATCCATCAAAAAAATATCATTTCAGAAAGTAGAGTATAACTTATTGTAAAAAAAAATACATATAAGTAAACATCTTTTTACAAAGTTGTTACTCACAGATAGCTCTAGAAGCAGAACAGATAAGTTAGACAGATTAGACGGATATTGGCGCGTGACCTACACAAATGACACTACAATTTTACTATTTTATTTTGGTTTGAGTTTTGTTTGGTGATGATCTGTTTATAAATGACACTATAATTTACCTTAGTTTGTTCATAAAATTGACAATGACAATTTGGTTTGAGTGTTTTTGCTTTTTTTTTGCTTTTTTTTTTTTTTTTTTTTTTTTTTTGT